GCTGTCAACCAGCACTCCCAGGTCCTTTTCTGCTGGGCAGCTTTCCAGCCACTCTTCCCCAAGCCTGTAGCGCTGCATGGGGTTGTTGTGGCCAAAGTGCAGGACCCGGCACTTGTCCTTGTTGAACCTCATCCAGTTGGCCTGGGCTCATCGATCCAGCCTGTCCAGGTCCCTCTGCAGGGCCTTCCTACCCTCGAGCAGATCAGCACTCCTGCCCAACTTGGTGTCGTCTGCAAACTGCCTGAGGGTGCACTCGATCCCCTCATCCAGATCATCGATAAAGATATTGAACAAGGCCGGCCCCAAAACTGAGCCCTGGGGAACACCGCTCGTGACCGGCCGCCAACTGGATTGAACTCCATTCACCACAAATCATCCTGCCTTCCTCCCCAGCTGCATCCCGGTGCGAGGACCGGTCTGGTTCGATTTGCAGCGGTTCTGTGCCGACAGGAGCATCCTTGGCTGGGGGCAGCCACCGTGCAGCGTCACTCTAACCCAGAAACTAATGGGGTGTTGTAAACGTAGATATACAGTTGTGCATACATTTTTGTTTTCGTCTCTTCTACACAGAGTTAGAAATTTGGGGTCTCTCTCTTTTCACCCAGCTATAAAATATACAAGTTGGTGCGTAAAGATGCTATAGATAAAATTGCCTCCGCCTGGTGTTGGACCACTTCAGCTAACCCGGCACAACTTTATAGATAAATGTTGTTCCATTATTTAAAATCTCTTCTGGCTTGCTGAGGCAACAAAACAGTTTATGTGGTTTGTCTTTACTGCAGTATGTTCCCCTCGGGTTAGCTCGTACGCTTTTATTACCCTGGAGGGAAAAAATACACCTTTTTAGCTATGAAGATAAGGTCTGAGACAAGCCTTAAACATTCAGAAGTAATTGAAGGTTGCTGCGGGCGCGTTACAGATTGCTGCTGCTCTCGGGACTGTCTCCGTGGAAGTTAAGCTTGATAAAATTCACAAAGAACTGGAACTGCTCAAGGACACAATTGAAAAAACATTTTGAGAAGCCGGTGGAAGGTTTCCAGCGCGGCCGGTTGCAGGCGCAGAAGCAGGAGCGAGGAATGCAGCCTGGCCTCCCCGGCATCGCCGCCGCTCGGGATTTTTATCACACGTGTTGGGACATTTTGGATGTTTTCCTTTAAAAACAAGCCTAGCTCACGCAGGCGTGTGAGTAAGAGGGAGTAGCAGCTCTTTTTTTTTAAAAAAAACAGCCTTATAATCTATATGCTTGATGTTTGATTACAAGAGGGTTTTTTTCCCCCTTTTAAAGCAAGTATTAAAGAAATACTTCGTGATTTGTTCAGCTCTGAGGTTGGCAGCCTTCCCTCTCTGGAGCTCCTCGAGCAGGAAACTCCGGAGTTTGCACTCACTCACCGGTGGGGTGGGAGTGAAGTTACGGGGCTTTCCTCTAAGAACTTTAAAAGCAAACCGGTGGAAGGCAGGACAGGTGAAAACAGGATTTAGTCGGTCTTTAAATGGCATGTTTCAGCACCAGGGCTGTGACCTGTCCCCGGGGAGGAGGCAAATGTGGCCGTGAACCGGAGGATGCCCGCTGGGGCAGTCCGCTGCCAGCCGCTGGGCGTTTGATTTACTTACCCCGCCGTGAACCTTTCATTTTGGGCCAGTGTGTTTGAGGAATACAAACGCTTCCTAAACAAAACATGCGGTGGAGCTGCCGGTTTATATCTCTTAATTTTAGCGAGCTGGGAAAAGGAAATACCACTGATGTTTCCTCCTTGCTCGTACCCATTTCATCCCGAGCGTAGCACGTCGGGATGATGAGCTGTGCTGCACCCTGCCTGGAGCACTGATACAAGCTGAGCCAGGGTGGTTGTTCAGGGGCTGTTGTTTTATTCCCGTTGTTCCCTTTTCCATCCAAGCTCCTCCGACTGTAATGCGACTTGCCCAGACTTGCGCTGCACAGAAGCGGGAGGGAGCTTTGAGGCCGACATAAAGAAGGGAGTCATTTGGGGAGTAGCAAACTCCAGGGACGGAGGTTAAACTATAACCCCATGCCAATATGCTTTTGGTTTCTGAATTCCCGAGGGGGAAGGGAGGAAGCGGGAGCAGGATGGGGAATTCCTGCCAGACGGAGCAGCCCGCCCGCCCGGCTTTGAAATACTGACCTTGGGGAGCGCATTGCAAGCGGAATAAAAGCTGTGCTCGCTCCAGACCGGCGGGACGGCACTGCAAACGGCTGTGCAGGTGAATGGGACGTGGAGGAGTAAAAACACCGGTTATATAGAAGATAGAGAGCGTACTCGATGCGTTCGTTTAAATGGCAGAAGGGGACGGGTGTGAATTCGGGGTGTTGTGCTGCTGCTGTCAGCCTGCGTTTCTTGGGTGTCTGGCCAGAGCAGACGCTTAAAGCCTGGTTTTATTTCTAGGACTCAGATTCCCTGTGACTTCTCAGGGCTGTTACTTAACCTCTGTGTTTACATCCTCCTAATACTCCCCTGATTGCTTAACTGCTTGTCAAGAACTCTTGAGAATCTCAAAAGAAACTACAGACATGCAAAATGGTATTACTTGGCCATCCTCCTCCGAATGTTTCTGTACGTTAAACAGAGCTTTGATAGCAGTGTCGTAATCTAAACATATGTGCTTGAAAAAATGCTGCAGAACCTCTTGTGCAGTCCCTGGAGAGCTTACCCTTTTTGGGAAATAATGGGCAACCCCAGCCATCATACACTAAAAAGTGTTTCCTTTTTTTTTTTCCTTCTCTTTCCAGACTTTATATTCAGAGCACCCATTAAATTAAGCAAACCGGGGGAACTCCGAGAAGAATATGAAAGCCAGCTAAGGAAGGTACGGTATTCTGTCTAATTGTGGTTTTTCTTCGAGAATAACTTGGATTTCCTGCAGGAATGCTGTCCTACCTCTAAGGAAACTTGAAGGGCTTTTTATTCCTGCTCTGTAACAAAGGTCATTTATTCCCTTTATGCTGTTCAGCCAGTTCAGGAAAATGTTGGCAGTAATCGAGCACGTAGAAGCCAGATTTTGCTGTCTTAGGCTGCCTTCCAGAACATGGAAATGTACCTTCCTTGGTGGACCTTGAGGGACTGTTTGGTTGTACAGGGTTTCTTAGAGCATCAGTATTTGTGGATGTAATTCCATAAAGGCTTTTGCAGCATAAGGCATCTCCTGCAGTAACATCCTTCTCAGAAACAATCTTATTCCAAACCAGAGCTTTCTGTCTAATTTTAGGCAAGGAAAAAATGTCAATTAAAGACAAAAAACTGAGAAGGGAAGAAAAGCTTTTCAGCTGTTTTGGAGTTAAAGTCTGGGAAAATATTTTCTACATTTTAAAAGGGTTTTTTTTTTTTAAATCTAAATCACTGAAACGTCTCCAGTGGCTAGTCTTTTATGGAAATTGGCTGCTTTTTAAGTGAGAAACGTTACTGTGAAAGCGATGACTGCTGCAGCTGAGCGGATAATGATTTCCATTGCAACCCCTCTCGTGAGAGTCGCCCGTAACTTGCTAAGACGCGCGCGTTGCCACTCGTAGCTCCTGCCTCTGTCCTCCCTGCCTCTGCCTGGACCTGCGCGAAACGCGGTGGACTCTGCCCCGCTGCTGGTGCCTCTGTCAACAGATGTAATTGCTGTCCCGGGGCCTTGATCTCTGCGATGGCCGTTTTCCTTTGAGATGGGTCCAACCTCTCGCTGATCAGTTTACCTGCTGGGGAGAAGGAACAGGGTTTTTTTTCATCATTGAAGAATTTTCTTTGGGTTTTCTCTTGAAGATCTCAACAACCGTAGAAATGGCTGGGGAAGCTGACGTTCAGTTAGAAGAATAGCCTTGTCCACTGAGTGATGCTAAGTAGGGAAATACTGCTTGGATGATATTTAAGGTAAATAACTCGTCTGGGAAATGCGTATATGTGAGGAGGCAATTAAAAATGTAGAAGGGTCTTCTCTCCTGCTTCTTTATGCGTGGAATTAGCAGTGACACTGATGGGCAGTGTCACCACAGGTTATTAGGATAACTTTGGCTGCCTGTGACCTTTCGTTAAGTGATGTTAAGAAACGCAAACTCTTCTCTGGTCCAGGTGACTTTCGCTGGGGAGGCAAGCATGCTTTGTGCGTGAAGTCTTGTGACTTGCGGCATTTTTAGCAGTGGCGAGACACTTCGTTGAGAAGCAGTTGGTTTAGGCAGCAGTGTAAGCCTTAAGTGCACAGAAATCTTATTCATGTAAAAATCTAGTTTATTAATTAACTTAAACGTGCATCACTGTATTTGGCAGTTTGTTTTTTTTTTTCACTGTAACCTTTAGGATGAGTATACTCAGGGTATCTTTGGCTTAAAGAAGAAATAAAGCTTTTTATGTAGGTATTAACTCTAAACCTTGCTAGGGTTTTATAAATCTCTCTGTAATAGTGAGTGGGAGACTTTCCGTGATGATATTGGAGCTAACTCATCATTGATCCTGCCAGACTTGTTGCTTGATGTCTTCAATCCAGCTGCAAGGCCAGAATTTCCCGGGTGTCCAGAGGAGCAGGAACCGCCTGAGTTCATGGGGACAGGATCTTAGCTCTGCAGTTCTTCCAAGTGCCTCCGGACTGATGCATATCCAGATCTTCTGGAAGGATTAAACCATCTTTTTTCCCATGGTCCATCAAAAAATTTATAGGAGCATTGCACCCGTGCAGGACAAAGTGGGTGCTTTGTCACCGTTTGCTAATCCTGATCACTCCGTTACCGACTTTAAATACGATTTCTATAAAGTCCAGTTAAGCACATTTGAAGCAGAGTCAGACTGCAGCTGAAGAGGTTTTCGCATCTACCGCTTGACTTCAGCAAAAAGATACCACGTGCGGTCCAGTGCCAACACTTCTCACTTCCCCACCAGTCGAAAGGAAACACTTCAACATGTTTCTGGCATTTTGGGCATGTTTTTGACTCGCTCCTGTTCAGCCTGCTGGCTTCCCCTTTTTGCTCACTGGCAGATTAGAGATAGGTTTCTTTCCCCTCCCGACTTAAACTCGCTTTTTATGAACCTCGTCTGAAAGAGCTGGGGTGTGTGTGGGATTCTCTGAATCATCATCTAAGAGAAAAGGGCGATGTAATTTTGCTGACAAAATGGCAACTGATGATGCAGTTGTGCTTTTTCCTTATTCCAGGCAAAATTGTGACTGTTGCCACTTGGTGAGAGTTTCTTGGTGTCTCTGAACTTCTGAATTAGGCAGGAGGAGACGAGAACTCAGGTTTGGGAATCAAACCTTGTGTATAACTGGGCTTCCCGCTGTGTCTCGAGGCAAGAGATTTCGTCTCAGCTTCCCTGCCCGTGAAACGGGGATAACCCGTGCTGGAGAGGAAGGGAGAGGAGCGTTCAAAAGCTTTTACGTCTCCCAGATGTGAGTTGTTTTATAAATCCTAGCTCTTGACCTGCTTCCTAGCCTTTTGCAGTGGAAAACAAAGTAGTTACCGTAATTATGTACTGAAGAATTCTTACTTGAAGTGGATAATCTCGTAGTGTAATTTTCTCAACTGACTTTCAGAATGAGACGAAACGTTTGCTGTTTGTGCAGGATAGCGAGACGGTTTTTTCCTCATTTGCACAGCGCACTTGGTGCTCTTGTATCTTATATTTTTCCAAAGGAGGATACCGTTTCTGTGTACTAAAAACCTAACTCATCCTGTTAAACTGTCTTTCTGTCATGAGCAGTCTATTGCTTGTAATCACACGCAGTCAGGAGGGAAACTCCTACCTGAGGCATGTGCTGACATGCAGCTTTCCAGCGGCATGGGTAGACGGAGCAGGCTCGGGGAGCGAGCAAGCAAACCCGGACAGTTTATTGAGCGAAGAGAAGATGTCAAACGTGAGTTTACCAAACTTTTGAAACTGACTGTTAGTATCAAGAACGACGTTCCTGAAATTCTCATTTCTTGAGCAATTCTTGAGCAAAAAATTAGCGATTGCTTGTAGAGTATTCTCTCCTGCAGTTTCAAACGGGCTATCCGAAAGCGCTACAGACTGGTTGAAATGCTTTTTCTGATAACCGCACTGCTAATAGCAGCTGGCGGTCCTGCACCCAGTATTTCGAAGATGCTACTCAGATAACGTAAGATACTTCTCCCAGGGTAGATGTTTCACACCAGCTCGTTTCAGTTTCTAGTCCTCATGTCCCAGCACAGTACTGCCACGTTTGTAAGTAAATTCTCTGGGAGATAATTTACATTAGGCTACTTAAAAGGATTTTTTTTCATCAGTACAAATTTTATCATTAGAGTTTGCTTTTGTTTGCAGCCTGAATTCTGGACCTAAATTCCTTTTTGTATCCCGTTAATTAGGATTAGGATCCTGGTGTTGGTTTTTTCACTGTTCACTGTCAGCAGAGGTTGTGCTTGCACCCGTTAACTGCCATGGGTTGGCCTAAAATCCTTAAATATTCCTGTGTGTTGTTACATATGCTTGTGGCTTTAGATTTGGGAGTTGAGTGTAATTTTATAAGTTAGACAAAAAAGTGAAGATTTCCCTATAGCTTTCTTCCATGTGAGAAATACAGAAGGGACACAAGTGTCGGGCAGTATTTCAGCTGGCCAAAAAGAGTCATCTTTATGATAAATCTTGATGTGAACTTGTTTTTCAGCTACTTAAAAAAGGCTCCTTAAAGTGCAGAAATACTGTTCATGAAACGCACAGCAGACTATTCGTCATGTCTGCATCATGTGGCCATCATCTACATTAGTCAGACACTGTGTTGTAGTTATTGCTTGAGATTATTAATAGATCAGGAATTTAAAGATACATCTTAAAACAACTCTCAACGAGAAGTCAAACCAGTCTTTGAAAACATTTGCTGAACACTCACAATCAGCCAAACGGGGGTGTTCCTCTTTTCTACCTTCTCTCCTCCTACCTCTTTCTTCCTCGTCTCTGGGGGTTTGGATTCAGGAGGCTTCGGGTCCTTCCCAGTCTGAAAATCATGACGTGCTTTTCGTGTAATGCATCGTGAACTCCGTTTTCTTTGCCATCCGCATGTCCATGCTTCCCCCCGCCCCCCGTGGCAGGAAAGAAAAATACTAAATATTTTTGGAAGAATGAGGCGTTGTTGCAGCGTCGCCCGCTGCCTTTATGTGCAGTGCTGGAGGGTCAGTGCTCGAGCTGCCCGTGGATGCCTTGAGCTTTGCTGGTTGGCACCAGGTCCCGCAGCACTGCTCCCCCGGGAGGCGAGGGGGAAATTGCGGCGGTGTCAGAGGATAGGAGGGAACGTAACAGGGCAGCTTCTTCAGCATCTGAGATGCCTACGCTCAAATGGGAGGGATAAACAGAAGTATTTGATTTCCTGGTGCTTAGCCATAGCTGTGATTCGTCAGTGTGATGGAGACCTGTCAGTCAAAGGTCAGGCTTGTTGTCCCAGACGAGGATAGCTTATGCACAGAGGTTGGGTGGAGGAAGAAGGAAGAACCTGGTATATATACATAGATATGTAGACTATTCATGGCCTATGTGTAAGCCTGAAGTTGAGGAAGAGGCTGGGTAATGAGTGAGAAGGGAGCTGGGTGATGTTATCCTGGGCAGGGATGACTGGATGGGGCTATGTGAAGTACGTACTGCAGAGCCTGTTCATCAGGAAAAGGTGCTGGAAAGGAGGAGAAAAGGGGCTTTGTTGGTTTTGAGTAGCAAGTCTGCAGAAAAGAGGTCCTGGCAGAAATGGGGGGGTTTGATTCCTTAGGTAAGGGGGAGCAAAATAATGCAGCAGCAGGACAGGCAGCCCGTTGGAGTCGTGGACCGTGCTGGGGATAATCCTTTGGTTCAGGAAGAAAGAAGTCTCTGCAGGGAGAGCCTGGCCGGGAGGAGCTTGTGGACACTGAAGATCGACCTTGGTTGGTTAAAAGGGATCCCTAAGCGATGGATTGTGCTTTTCGGAGGGAGGGAAGGAAGGAAAGTGTTGCACTTCTCTGAAATCCACTTCTCTCATTACCCACTTCCCTTATTACTGGACTTCCACAAGCTCAAGAATGGGATGGGGATCTTCTGGGAAGATAAGGGAGTGTATGGGGGCTGGCAGTTAATGGAAGAGGCACAGTTTAGAAGGCACAGCAAAAAAGCCTTCAGTGCAGAAAAAGGATGGGAAGTGCAGCAAGACGTAGCTTGGGGCTGCCCTGGCAGTTCTGCAGGATTTCTTGTGCAGCCTTCAGGTTTGTGAAACGCAGTAGCGCAGCACGGGGATAAAATAATGTCGCATCGTAGCTTTTTGGAATTGCCAGGGTGGTGAAAAGTAGCAAGAAAACATCTAAGAACGCACTGGAATTAGAGAAAAACAAAAGGAAATACAGGGGAAGTATTCCTCATAGGAGGTGATACCAACAAGGCTGAAAGTGCTCGGTGCCTTCTATGGATCAGACTTCTTAGGTTGCAGCAGTATATTAAAAAAGCAAAGGGATTTCAATAAGGGGTTAACTACGCGGGGCAGAGTAGGAAGCCAGGAGGTAAAAGCAAGTCTGTCCAGCGTGGTGCGCCGGCAGCGGCTGTTCGACGTGCAGCAGGCAGGATCCTGTGGGTCCTTGCGTCCTAGATCCTGGCATTCGCTTGCACTTCTCATCCGCATTTGCACTTCAGCTGATAAACTGAATTCACGCCTTGGGCCCCCAGTTGGCCGTCGGAGGGTTGGGTAATCTCTCTGGATCTTCTCCATCCCAACGCGTCAATGAAACAGTAGGATTTCATATAGCGTGTAGGTTTCAACATGGGGATTGCTGTGTCTAACCGATTTTAATTTAGGTGATGCTGTCTGTATGTCTGCCAAATTGTGTGTACTGTGTTGAAGTCCATTAAAAGACTAAAACTGAAATGTCGTAGCTTGCATGAAACTACTGTTTTGCACACTTTTATTTGTAGTATGATTATCTACAAAGAGACAAAAGCTTTTGTCTCGCTATTTTAGGAGGTGGTGTGGCAGAGAAGTCTTTGCCAAACCCTGGGCCTAACAGTGCCTTTGCTGTTTTGCAAAGAAGAAAATATCCACGGTGTTTGTGTAGAGTGCACCTGAAAGCATTGTAGAAACAAACCGATCTTCACATTATTGCTAGTGAGGGAGGCAGTGGCTCTACTCTAGAGTAGAGAAATGAAGACAAAATTAAATTATGTGGCCAGACTCTTGGAAAATCACTTGTTGGCAACCAGGTGCAGGACTTAAGACATTTCAAGTACGCTGCTTCTTTTGTCATTATTTCCAGCTGAGAGAAGGAAAACTACAAGAAGAAAAAGCTTCTGAGGATCTGATTCACAAGTTCATTCTAGATGACATGGACGTAGGAAAAAGAAAAATGGAAGAACAGCAGAAAAAAGACGAATCTTTAGTGCTTAAAGTGAACCAAGAGTGTGTAAGTAAGCTTGTGCTTCTCTTTCCTATCCACATCACAGGCACTGACTGGTAGGTGAAATGCTGCTAAGACTCAGTCCTGGAACAAGGACTAGTTTTTTTAAGACCTTGACTAGCTGAGTATCTCCTGTTCCTGCCCGTTGAAACTGGGAGCTCATCCTTTGACACAGGGAGCTTTCCACCTCGAATACTGTGTTCAGTTTTGGGCCCCTCACTCCAAGAAGGACGTCGAGGTGCTGGAGCGTGTCCAGAGAAGGGCAACGAGGCTGGTGAGGGGTCTGGAGCACAAGTCTGATGAGGAGCGGCTGAGGGAACTGGGGTTGTTTAGCCTGGAGAAGAGGAGGCTGAGGGGAGACCTCATCGCTCTCTACAACCACCTGAAAGGAGGTTGTAGCGAGGTGGGGTCGGTCTCTTCTCCCAAGTAACAAGCAATAGGACAAGAGGAAACGGCCTCAAGTTGTGCCAGGGGAGGTTTAGATTGGACGTGAGGAAAAATGTCTGTACTGAAAGAGTGGTTAAACATTGGAACAGGCTGCCCAGGGAAGTGGTGGAGTCCCCATCCCTGGAGGTATTTAAAAGACGTGTAGATGCGGCACTTAGGGACATGGTTTAGTGGGCCTGGTGGTGTTGGGTTGACAGTTGGACTCGATGGTCTTAGAGGTCTTTTCCAACCTCAATGATTCTATGATTCTGTGATTCCAGGGTTAGTTGATTGACTTCATTACAGCCCTTGAAGGCTATGAGCTAACAGATCATAAAGATCCACGTTAATGAAAACTGTCTTCTAGGTTTGTTACGACTACAGATGTTCTTCTAGAGGTTTCTGTCCCCCCTTTTGCCCACTTTACTCATGACTGAAGGTGCACCTCTTCCAAACGTATCAGTTAAATCTGTAGAGGTAACCGCTCTGCTTTGTGTATCCTTGGTCTTCAGGCATATATGCGTTTCCATGAACATACCTCCGTGAATCTTCTACAGTGTAGGTGTACGATACTGTAGTCCAACAGATTCTTCATGCTGAGTTTTGCCTATTTCTCATTTCAGTTGTGAGACTCCGCAGGAAATGCTCTTAAGATTTAAAGACTGACAGGCTGATACGTGGGTACTGAATAACGTCTCGTAGTACCCTTCTTGTAGGACTTTCTCACGTTTCCTTGATCAATAAATTAACTCTCTTCAGTGACTGACAGCTATACATAGGAGCTGTGCACTTATTTTTGTATTATTTATGCTTTTGGGGCCAGCCTCTGAGCTGCCACAGCTCCAGAGAAGAGAGCCGCACGAGCACGTGTGTCTGCTGGCAGGTTGCATTCTCAGTTTATGTCCTCTAGGTGTAATTGGAACGGGGGCTTTTGGAATCTTTAATATCTTTGCAAGAAAGAGCTTTATTTTCCAAGTGATTCTTTTTGTTGTGCATGTCAGCTAACTCTTCCTTGATTGACTTCAGTTTCCTGAACGTCTCTCGGATTCAGAGAATGAAGAACCATTCCAGGGGAAGCAAACACATCGGTCGGCTTTTGTCTCCAAGACCAGTGCCTACTCCTTTGCTTTCCTTTCAGGGTAAGATGCTGAGACTTGCTTCAAGCTGACTAATGTTCATTAGAGATGTAAATCTCACGTTCTTTTGACTGTTGTTCTAAACATACCTGAGATGCTTTAAATTTAATTAAAATGGTTGTTCCGATCCAGAATAAGTAATAATTTTTCTGGAGTTTTAGAACAGACTAATTGGTAGGATACAGCGTCTGTCTGATTACCTCCTACCTGTTACAAAACCCTGGGGGTTAACGAAGTTAGTGTTGATCCCACGAAGCAGAAGAATCATTGCCTGTAGATTTAAATGACAGAAATCATTAAAGTACACAATTCTGCATGATGAACTCAAGAGTGCTGGATCCTTCTCCAGCACAGGTATTAAGAGATAGCGTCAGCCCCAAACAGCTTATCAGTGAAAGCTGTTGCGTGATGCAGTGGAATCGGCTGAGTAACTAAGTGTGTTTTCACATGAGAAGCACAGAGGTTTCCACCGCGTCATCATTAGCTCTGACCTCAATTAGTTATAAGCCGTAGGTGGAGGTGTCAGTGTGTTTAGTGCGGAAGGCCTTGAACGCAGACCAGGGCTCTGCAGCTGATCCAAGATTCCTGGATCCCTTTATCCCGAGGGCGTAGGAGGCATCTCTCACAGCCGGGCGCTGCCAAGGCTGATGCCTCCCCCACAGGTAGCTGCTGCCAGGGCTGTTGGGCTGGTTGTTCCTAAGGTCATGAACAATCTCCTCTTTTCACGCATCTGCTTTTCAGGAACCTAACCGCCAAAGTGGAAAGGAGTCGGAGCTGCAACGACACCATTCAGGAGAGATCAAAGAGCAGGCAGAGATCAGCCCCAGCCAACAAAACAAAGGTACCGGCTGCGTCTGGAAACATAGGGTTTCTGCGTGTAAATATTCTTATCTGAGGTTACACAGCGCCAGTAATCTGGAGGTATAAAATACTGCGTTTGTGGCGCTGCTGGTGCTGTGTTATCGCCGTGGGGCCAATCACTTCCTTGCAGCTCACAATAAAACGCTGCTAGGTTAGAAAATACTAAGCAGAAAAGTAGACAGCTTACGGAGTTGTTTGTTAGCACTGGAGGATAATTGGAAGTTGGAAGGCTACTCGTCATGCTTTTGTCTTGTAATTAATTTTCTTTTCAAGGCTGAATCCCCAGCCGATTAAAGAAAAATCTTCTGGAAGTTTAGAAAAAAATCCTCTCTTCCTCCCCCTTTCTCTCCTGTTCTTTCCAAAGCTGTTTAAACAGAGCAAAACTCATTGCTCTCCTGATGTTCGGATACTTTCTTCTGCACTTCCACGCTACGGGAAGAGCTGGCCTGCTCTTGCTTCCCCTCGCATCCAGCAGACCAAGTGAATTCACCGTATCCGTTACCCCGTGCAACAGGCCCGACTTTTCAGTGCACCGCAGCGCTTCGAAATGAGCGGTGAGCACGAAGCACTGCTGAAAATCTGAGCCGGAGGTTTCTCAGGCTCTTCCAGCAGTAATCGCTGGGTACCTTCCGCTCACTGGAGATGACCTTGGCAGACGCCTTTCCTTGCGCCGTGCCTGGCAGCACCGCTGACCCCTCTGTCAGGGATCACTGGGGTCAACTTAGTGTGCCCAGTGGGGATTTTACCATTTTCCGAGTAACGTACGCCAACCAAACTGACCTTCCAAAGGACTGCTCAGAGAGCTCGGGTAGAGCAGGTGGGAGCCGTGCTCTGGGGGCTGTGACCCAGGGAGCAAACGCAGCTTTTCTCCCGGTCCCTGCCTCTTCCGAGGCCGGAGGGTTTCATGTTCTTCCCACTAACATGGAAATCTAGAGCCGGCTGGGATTTTGGGAAGGACGTTCTCCTTGCTGACACGTACCCTGCCAGCAGATGCAAATTTTGCACGCTCGCTCTTGTACTAATCTCTGTCTCTGAGGCCGTGCTCTGCCTCCTTTCCGATGTGCCTCTCCGGCCCGCGGGATCCTGGTGGCTGGCGGCAGCAGCTTAAATCATGAGAGCTGTCAGTTCTCAGCCTGGAACAGCTTCAACACTGCTCCGCCAGGGCCGCTTGCTAGGACGTTCCACCTCCTCGTGCCGACACCCTTCCATCTTGGGCTCAGTTTCATCCCAGATGGAGAAGGGGACGGTTCAATTCCAGAGATCCCATAGGGAACAGAAGCCTCTGCAGTCCTTTGGAAGGTCAGTTTGGTTGGGGTATGTTACTCGGAAAATGGTAAAATCCCCACTGGGCACACTAAGTTGACCCCAGTGATCCCTTAGCTACGCGGCTCCGAGGTGGTGAGCACGGACCATGGTCCAGTTCCCGTCTAAGCTGATAGGAGCTGGACTGAGCTCAAAGCGAGGGCCTATAACTGACCTTCCCTCCCAGGACTTTTTTAAATAGATGGCTTATGGACCTGACCAATTAAGAGTTGCACTACGAGGGTGTTCCATAAACTTATTTTGACCTCAAAATAAGCTAGTAGAAACAACTTTCTTTCGGGCTAAGCAGGGAAAGGCTATCATTGTTCAAACTAGCTGCTGGATAAAATCATTTCACCTTAGAGAAGAAGAATACCATTTGCGGTTGCGTACGTGCGGCTTTCATTTCTGATTTATTTGTGGCTGGATTCTCTCACATTCCAAATGTAGCAGCATTAAGGGGTGGGTTTGGAGATGACAAGATGACAAGAAACGCTGCTCTTGAGCTCTGCTGGAGGCTGTCTCAGGCAGTGTCCAGTGTGGTGGCCGCGGTGTGGCCTGGGACCACTCATCAAGGTTGTTCCACCAGTCTGCCTCGGGCACATACACACCTTTTCTCATGACGTTTTGCAGCGCAGTGTGTTAAACCTGGGCCAAGTATTTATTCTTTCTCTCCTACGGCTTGGTAGGGAGCAAAAAACCCTTTGGAGGTGATTTCCCTCAAAGAGCATGGCTTCCTTCAGCCAGGGTGGTGCAGTGCCTCTCGGTTTCTCCTTGTCTTGCCTTGCTTCAAGCTTTTTGCCATCAGAGTGGTTGCCCCTTGCCCTGTCCCAGCAGCAAGAACAGCTCTTACACTGAAATAAATTTGAGGCCCAGATCGTGCTGGACCCCAGTGTCCCCTGCTTATGTTATAGATCAGCCATGAAATGTGCCGTGACCGGCAGAGGCTGCCAGGGCTGTTCCAGAGAGCTCTCCAGCTGGTCCGCTGCAGGAGCCGAGCGTGGTAGCCTCACGTTCTCCTGTTCTCCGCTCGCATGCTTGTCCGTATTCTTCTCAGTTGACAATCTTTTTGAGCTGTGGTGCCTTGCCTTGCAGGTGCCATCCGTCACCAGCACGTCGACGCCGCTGGTTGGAGTTTTGTCATCCACCCAAAACAACCGCTGCCTCTCCGCCCCAGACCTGACAGCAGAGAAACGCCTGGTTCTCAACCCCGTTTCGTCCCTCTCGGCCCTGCACAAGCCAGAGCGATCCATCAGCCCCGAGAGCAATGACAGCATCTCGGAAGAGCTCAACCACTTTAAGCCTATCGTCTGCTCCCCGTGTACTCCTCCAAAGAGGCTTCCTGACGGCAGAGTCCTGAGCCCTCTCATTATCAAGTCCACCCCGAGAAACCTGAACCGGAGTCTGCAAAAGCCGACCACCTACGAGGCCAGTCCTAGAATACTGAAAAAATGGGAGCAGATATTTCAGGAGCGCCAGATCAAAAAGACTCTCTCTAAAGCGACCCTTACGTCCTTGGCTTCGGAGCCCGGGGAAGACGTTATAGTTCCTGACATCACCAACTCCAGCAGCTGCACTAAAGAGCAGCCGCAAGTGCAGGATGATCACCTTCCACCTGACACAACAGGAGACCCTCGCCCCGAGCTGGATTTCTTTCCTTCCATCAGTGAAACGAAGCTGGGAAGAGGGAGTGAGAAGAACAGAGATTCACAGGCCTTTACAACAGACGACAGCGCTGCTGAACCAGATGCGAGGTCAAATGTAACCTCCCTAAACACACGAGTGTCCGAAGTCCCTGACCTAAAAGTGAACACGTTCACGGACAAATCCTGTCTTAGTCTTGGCCCGAAAATGCTGAGCAGAAGACTCATGGGCGTCAGCGCATCGCTCCCAGACAACAGCACACTAGGAGTCCCCGTCAAGCCATCGGGAAAAAAGCAGTTGAAATACCTGAACAACAGCGAATTGATCAACGTGCAGAACAGCACCTGCAATTCCGTTGAGAACATCATCGGGGAACAGCCCCCGACGCTGAGACGGGGCCGGAAGAGACGCTGCAAAACGAAGCACTTGGAGCACAACGGCTCTGTCAAAAGACTGAGGCACGCGGCAGGGGAGGTGGGCTTGCCTCCGGAGGATCGCTTGGTACGGGAGATGGAGCAGAAGCTCCAGCAAGAGGAGGAGGACAGGAGGTTGGCCCTGCATCTGCAGCGGATTTTCGACAGCGAGAATAGGACAGTGGATAGGCGGAAAGTCAGAGTCGATCGGTATCTGCTGCGGTCGAAGAGCACTCTGGGTGCTAAGTAGCACTGGTGGACGATGTTGCCTTTCTAGAGGACGATGAGGTTTATCAGATTATCTTATAGGAAAACTATTTTTTGTCATACTTCCACCCACAACAATTGTTTTTTCATTTTGGTGGTAAGACATTTGTAGGTCCAGTTCAGAGAGAAGCCAGAGTCCTTTCAGATTAACAAAAAAAAAAAAGAGAGAGAAAAAAATCCTCCAGCTTTCTGGTCCATTGGTCTGAAGGAAGTGTCCGTCGTCCCCGTGAATACACTGCAACGCCTCTACGTGCAGTTGGTGACATTTGGGTTCCCCAGCTGGGAGGGTTGTGTGAGCAGTACGTGGGGTACGGGATAAGGACCTCGTCCGTTCCTTGCCTTGCCGCTTCAATATGCCAAGAGAAATCAGAGCTCTACTCACGGAAAGTAGGCTTTTTCTGTTCTAGAGACAGTCTTCTCCTCTCTGTCTGCCCCGTTTTCTTCCTTACGCTGCAGCTGGCTGTGGTGGTCAGACTGTTACCGATGTCAGCGTGTTCGACTGACCTGACTTGAGGGCTGTTGGGGAGGCAGGCTGATCCGTGTTCCTGCTAGGAAGTACCAAACAGATCCACCTGTAGTACTTGTAAATGAATGTATCTCGCTGTCTGCACCAGCAGTACAGATCATAGGTTACTTTCTTTAAGTAGAAAGCCAAACGCAGTGAAGAAAGACATAAAATAAGGATTTTACTGAAAAGCCTCGTAGGAACTTGTACATTCATGTTAGTGACGCAGCAGAGAGCTCGGGTAGAGCAGGTGGGAGCCGTGCTCTGGGGGCTGCGACCCAGGCAGCAAACGCAGCTTTTCTCCCGGTCCCTGCCTCTTCCGAGGCCGGAGGGTTTCATGTTCTTCCCACTAACATGGAAATCCAGAGCTGGCCGGGATTTCGGGAAGGACGTTCTCCTTGCTGACACGTACCCTGCAGGTTCTTGCTCAGTTGAGAGATCTCTCAGCACACCCAAGACCTGTCCTTGCATGTCCAAGAGCGGCCCGAGGAGGCATCCCGAGGTGTCTGACGCATCGCCCTCCTCTCCCAGACACCCGATGGGTTGGCGGTAGAGCTGGGAGAGGAGCCCAGCCCTCCCGGCCCGCGGGCACACAGGCGCGGGTGCTCGGGGCGATGCAAGCCTGCCCTGCCCCTGCTCCAAGCTGGCTGTCTTCAGGTTCGAACCACTAAGAAAGCTCAGGTGAGCGACGCACTAAAAATTTCCACTTAAAGGCATGAAGTCGGGCACGGCAGGCTGGCTCGGAGCCTGGGCTTGGTGGCGCGTGTGTTGTCTGCCCAGATGTGGCCTTCAGTGGCAGCCCACCCTCTGGGCTCTTGGCGTTTCTAACGCCCTTCCCCATCACCCATTAACAGCACAATAATTTTCGCTGATTATTTCCAGTAATCGGGCTCAAAAAACATCAGCTCAACTTGATACTTGAAAGCTGCCTTGCAGAGTATTCACTGGGGACCCTCGGTGCCCGCAGGGACCTTCGTCCAGGGCGGAGGCTGCGGCGTTAACGATCTTGCTGACCCGTGTGCCAGGTGACGAGGGGTATTTTCAGGATGGAACTGAAGCACGGTGCTGGGGCAAACCTTACTGTGACCCATGGCGTGAAGGGAGGACAGCCAATGCATTTAAACAGATGGATCTGATCTAAGAGAACGGTCGTTGCCCAATTTCCTCTATCTAAAAAAATGGTTGAATTTCTCCCTCCGTCTTAAATGGTCAAAAAAAAAAACGGGAACTGGTTTTCTTTTTCTCTCCCGGCATACTTGCGTAACTGCAAGGACCCTGGCGCTTTTTTCCTAATTGAACTGGATTTTTTTTTTTAAAAAAGAAATCTTATATTTTAATGGATAAAATTTATATATTTTAAATACTATATTTCAACAGATTGACACTTTTGTTTTGAGAAATCTTATAGCAATGATTCCGTAATATATATCTCTCTATCTCTCTATCTCCTGAACACACAAACTACTAAAAAAAAAGGATGTTTAAAGTCGTCTAGGGCCGGCTAGACCTGGCCTGCTCTGCCTACCCGCTGCGGCTCGTGGGCGATGGCTTTTCCGGCGCGCCGCAGCCTCGTTAGGTGCGGATTGAAGCAGGCGCTTTTGACCCAAACCGAATCCTGCTCCTGTACCCAGCCGTGAATTGGAAGGAAATTAAATAATTAGAGCCTTGACCGGACCCAGAAGAGCAGCGCAGGGAGAAGTAGCGATGGCCTGGATCTGCCCTTTGCAGTGAAATAAGCTCAGGAGGGAAACCCACAGCTTTTACTCCGAATTCATGCTGTTTTTTCCCAACATTTTGAGCTAAAGCATGCACTTCTCAAGCGCATCTGGATTTCTAATTATTTTTACAGACCCCCTTCTCCCTGCCCCTTCCCCACGGTTAATCCCTTGAGCCCGGATCAAACGTCCCGAAACGGTTTCCTTCTTTCTCGCAACGCTTGTGTGGGTTTCATCCAGGCTTGGGCTGCCGGGCGCTCTCTGAGCAAGCCTACACCACAAAAAACTAGATTTACACGCTGAATGTATCCTTTCTTTCCCCTCTTAAAATAGATTTCGCAGTCCAACGCACCAGGCCAGTGTCTTAAATACCTTCTTTTTAAAAGATTACATAAATATTTAGGGGGTTTGTGTGTTAATTTCCTCTTTCTAAATCCGAGCTGGGTGGAAGTGCGGGAGGCAACGCCTGAGCTGGAGCTTGTCCCCAGGCAAAAGGAGCTTAATGGGACCCCTCGCGCCCCCGGCTTCCCAAACCTCGCCTTCACTGGGCAGCCGGCTCCCCCCGAAAGAGAGAGCCCACGTCCCGGCAGCGCCGCTCGGCTCCCTAAGCATCACGCACGGTCCACTGCATCCGCATTGAAGGAGACCTTTGGACATGACGTCGCAATCGTGTCATGGAAGGGTTGCAGTCGCAGCAGCTTTCAGTAAAGCATCAGGGTGGGATCGATCTTTTCTCGTGAGGTTGTGTGCCCGCAGGTTTTCAGTCCGATGAAGCTGCTGGCTGCATTTCTACGTTCGCTTCTCCATCTCGTTGCTTAAGGACTGGGAGAAACATGGGTCGTTTTCCAGCCGGCTCGCCTAGACCCTCTCGCCTTCTTCCTGAGCCAGCGAGAGCGCGACTGCCCTCGGCTGAAATCCACCCGAGGCGGTGTCGGGTTCGAGACTTGAGGCGATGGGAAGCTAGGATGATGTTTTATTAATTTAACACTCTGTAAGTTTGTGTAAGCTTGCACAAAAGATAATTGTATATAATTACACTTAAAAGAGCAGGAATTCCCAGCCTCCACCCTTTAAAGGTCGGGCATGACGCTACCTTTGCCACAAATGATGCCAGCTGAGAAGTCAAATACCTCTTGCTGAACGGTGGATGCAGCACAAGATCTGCAGAGGCTCTAAGATGAAACCAAGTATTTACTTACGCTTACATGAAAGTCGTTTCTAACCCTCCTCCTTTCTGCAGCCACCTCCTCTCCGGGATGACGGCAGTCCTTGCCGGCTGTGGGACGGCGCAGGCGTGCGAGCATCCTCCCAAAATGTGAAGCTGTCTTCTCTTGCGAGAAAAAAAAAAAAAAAAACAACAACCCAGGTCAAGAGATTGCGCTGCGGGAAAAAAAAAAACAAAACAACCCAGGTCAAGAGATTGCGCTGCGGGTAGCGCTGGAGGGGCTGGGGTTGGTTTGACGACAGAAGGACCGTGTCTGCCAAAGATGCCACCGACTCCGGAAAGTCGCTTTCTGACCCTCCGGAGCTCTCTGCCCGGGAAAAGCCGTACGGAGAGGTCCGTGTTTGGAGTCAGTGAGATCAGATAAATGAAGGAAAAGTGCCAAAAGAAGGGATCGTGCCAGATGATTGTATAATGTTGTTCTATATTGTCAGTATTTTTCTTCAAATGCTATTGTACATGCAGTAGTCATGAAGTGTAGCTTGAACAAGCGCTTCTTTGTATTTTCTCAATGAAAGCAAAGGGGGAGGTTGAAGCCTTAAAGACTATCACTGATTTTTAAAACAAGCCTTTAGCAATGCTCCGAGGACAGGGCCCCAGGGCTCCGCCTGGACCCTCCAACAGCCCCGTGCCATCTCCCAGTCGTCTGGCGAAAGGTTGACAAGGAGCTTGTCCCGTGCACGGGGTGGGGGGGAAGCGTTTCACAAAAACCCGGCCCCTCTCGCCCCTTGGGGGACCCGAGACGAAAACTAACGGCCGACGGCCTCGCCTGGCACCGTGATGGGAGACCCGCAGCACGTCCCCGCGGATGGCAGCTGGGTGGAACTGGGACGTGACGCCGGTTTGAACTACAGCGCGGAAGCTGGGATCATCCCCACGTGTCGCACGCATCGGACACAAACCTTTCTCTTCCCCGTGTCCAAAACACCGTGAAGCATCAGCTCTAGAATTAGCTCTTCACTATGCAAACAGAAAAACCTTCAGCTGGTTACAAAGGGGGGGGTGTACGCCTGGGTTCCTTGGTGTTTACTGTCAAACTGTTTAAAACAAATCTAGATGTTGCTACACTTTTTTTCTGATAATGCTTTAAATCGTTGTGCTTTCGTGTTCTCCTCAGCTTGCCAGCGGAGCACCGGGGCGGTAAAAGACTACGGTCATTTTGGGTCTCAGCTGAACCACCGTGGCTTCATCCGAATGTTTTTAAAAAGCGATGGAAGTTACTGAAGGACTGTTGACTTGCATGTGTAAAATGTGTGGGTAAAATGACATGCAGGCGTCTGTCATGTTGTGGCTTCTGTTATTTGGAACAGAGTAAATCCTGCTTGTGAAAAAATTGTCACAAACCAGAAATATGCCAACTGCGTACAAATAACGTGTACATTTTAACAGCAGCGAGGACTTTAACTGCAGGACAAAGGCCGAGGTTAAAAGAGAATAAAACCAGGTTCTGACAGTGAACTACCTGTTTCTGCTGAAGTTGCTGCGCTTGGAAACAAGCAGGATCCTACTGGTGCCTGTCCCGAACGGGTTACGGTTGCCCCTGGCTGAATGAGGTTGTTCACTAACGTTTTGCCGGGGGGGGTGAGGGAGAAAAGAGGTGAAGGCGAGTATACTGACATATTTTTCATGTAGGTAAGCGGCCAGTGGGAAGCGAGCATCCTCCATCGCTCCCCATCGCTTGTCCCAACCCCTCCGGTGGCACTGACGCAGCTGGTTTTTAGGGGAGCCAGACACGGCGATGGATTCGGGGTTTTAATAACTCTTTTTGTGCCCAGCTCGGCTCCCTGAGCACGCTTGGGTCCGGCTGGTCAGGCACGTGCCTGCGGCGGGCTGGGGCTCCGCGCTCAGGGCTGCCGCGAGCAGCGCTGGCAGCACTGCCCCGGCCTGAGACGGATTTTCCCCAGCACTTGGCTGCGGGACAGACCGATGCTGGGACAGCGGGCGAGAGCCGAGAGAACCGGGGAGCTGGTATTCGCTTGCCGCTCCGTTAATGGTGGCGGTGTTGCTGCTCGCCCACGAGCCCTCCTCATACGACCCGTTGGTCAAGCGCAGGCAGAGCCCCATGGCGAGCCGTGCTCATCATGGGACGGGGCGGTCACAGCGCTCTCCGCCCTGTTCACCGCTGGCCAAAACCTCCCTGCAATGCCCAGAGGGCGCAGCAGTTTTTCTTACAAGTCAGTTTTTGCGCAGGGGTGGGTGAGCACACACCTTATTTTCCAGGAACGGCAGAGCACAACAGTGAGCAGACACGGTTTTCATGTGCTGTCACGACAGCGCTGCGGCTGTGTCGGTGCTTTCAAGCTGGAAGTCGCTGCCTGAAAGCCTGAGATGAATCTTGTCACCGCACTGGATTTTCCAACCTCGGGAGGGGAAAAACAGCTCCAAACAAGTTACAAAATAACATACATTTTATCCAAGAGGACCAAGGTGTGGGGTGCTTTATTCAACCCCTGGCTATACTGCGGACTAAACTTCGGGCACCTTCTTGGCCATTCTTTTCCCCGGCAGCTGTAGCTGTTCGGGGCTCCCCTGCTTGGACGCTGCCTCTGCGAGAAGGGCTTTTACCACCTGCGCCTCATCCGACGGCTTGGCCTTCCCCTCGCCGACAGTTGCAGGGGGGATCTCGAACACCTCCTGGAATTCCCCCATCAGCCTCCGTGCCTCCCGGTACACCTTGGGGCTGGATTTCTTCTCTCACAAAACAGATGCTGGAAAAGGCCAGGGGTGCGAGCGGAGCGATGGGACGGCTCCTTGGCTGCAATATTGGATCTTCCCTCCCACGCCTCCGCCCGCCAGCGGCCCCAGCCCTCCTGGCCCCGCAGCACGGGGCACGTCACCGTGCCGGGACACAAAGGCGGCTGCTGGGATCCAGCTCTATCCTGGTGCCCACACGAAACACGGGAGCCCCAAAAGCAAAGGCACCGGTGGTCCTGAGTAACTCAAGAGTGAAGACAGATGTTCTGGGTTCAAGCCCGGGCAGTGGCTCTTGCTGTAGCCTGCAAAAAGTGCCTTCAATCCTTGCCTCTCTTTCCTCCTCTCTTCCCCGGCCGGTGCAGGGAAAAGAGGCAGCACCGGGGAGCAGCCAGGTCCTGCTTGCACTGGCAGTTCAGGATTGTACCACCATCGGGGCTGGGATGGAGATAAAACATGGCCAGTGCTCAGAGACCCGAGTCCTGCTTCATCTCGGGGGCAAAACCGCTTTTGTTCAAAGGCCGTTCTCCCACCAGCTGGGTTTGGGGTGGGGTTAATCCAGCTGCGGATCCAAGGGACCCCAGCAGCGTCTGCGTTGCGTTTACCCCTCTGTTAACCAGTAGGCAGAGCATCGGGGTCCGACCTCGTGGTGGGCTGAGGGCGTTCAGCAGGCGAAGCCCCTGTCCTCTCCGCAGGGACGTGGGGGGAGGCTGCTGCAATGGGAGGGACCCTCCGTTCCCGACTCAGCCGCACCCCAGGACCCCGCCAGCTCAGGGACACCTTTATGTTCAGATCCTGCCCCTGCCTCTGCGGTGCCGTCAACAGGAGAGACTGGGAATGCAGGAACATACCCAAGGGGACTTCAGTGATGGTCGAGGTGTTTCTCATGGCCGTCAGGATTCCCTCCAGGACCTCCGCTCTTGTCTTTCGGGCAGGAGGGCCGGGCATCCTCCCATGCTGCAAGGAAGACCAGGAGGCTGCGGCGTGCCTCCCCTCCGCCTTCCAGGCTGATGATCTTCCACCTCCTTTTCCTGCCCCCTCTCCTAAACTAACATGGGCCCGTGCTTCTGCACGAGGTAGGTGAGACGATCTCTTCTTTTTGGACCAAGCCGGTCTGGTTTAGACACCAACTTAAGATTATTGAGCAACACCGGATCAGCTTTCCGCAACCCCAGAGCAGCGGAGTGGATTCAGAGACTGTAATTCTACCACGACCCAGCTCGGAGGCTGTTTCCTCTGCCTCCCTTGGGACAGGGCTGGCTTTCTCCGAGGGGTTGGTGACAAGCAGTTCCCCCCGCGCTGCCCGGGGGCTAGCACGGCTCTTGGCCGTTTATCAGCCCCCAGCGTACCCATCCCGGCAGGTCGGTTCCCGTGGGGGCTGCGTGCACCACGCCACAAGGGAGAGAGAACAGGGAGGTGCTGGGATCAGGAACTGGGGCCAAGCCCACACTCGGGGCTCTCGGCATCCATCCAAACACATGGGTTGATCCAGATACAGACGCAACCCTTCTCCCTTCAGAGCTTCGGCTCTTTACCTTTTTCCGAGGCACGTAGGGCTTCTGTACGCTGTCCAGTCGTGGCTTTGTGTCCCGATAAACCAGGGGGTGTTTCAGGATGTAGTGCAGTGCCTGCACGTTCTTCTGTATCCCTGTGAACCAGAGGGAAAATGGAACAACAAAAGCCTTTGCTGCTTTGAGGCTGGTGAGGCTGCACCTCGAATACTGTGTTCAGTTTTGGGCCCCTCACTCCAAGAAGGACGTCGAGGTGCTGGAGCGTGTCCAGAGAAGGGCAACGAGGCTGGTGAGGGGTCTGGAGAACAAGTCTTATGAGGAGCGGCTGAGGGAACTGGGGTTGTTTAGCCTGGAGAAGAGGAGGCTGAGGGGAGACCTCATCGCTCTCTACAACTCCCTGAAAGGAGGTTGTAGCGAGGTGGGGTCGGTCTCTTCTCCCAAGTAACAAGCGATGGGACAAGAGGAAACGGCCTCAAGTTGTGCCAGGGGAGGTTTAGATTGGACGTGAGGAAAAATTTCTGTACTGAAAGAGTGGTGAAACATTGGAACAGCTGCCCAGGGAAGTGGTGGAGTCCCCATCCCTGGAGGTATTTAAAAGACGAGTAGATGAGGCGCTGAGGGACATGGTTTAGTGGGCCTGGTGGTGTTGGGTCGACGGTTGGACTCGACGATCTTAGAGGTCTTTTCCAACCTTAATGATTCTATGATTCTATGATTCTTTCCTGGCCAGAGTGGACCATATTGATCATGAACCTGCCAAGGCTTTTCTGAGCAAAAGCCTTCTGCTATCCTCACCGACTGGCTTGATAAAACCTGGGTCCGTGTCTCCACCGAGCAGCTCCTCGTAGCCTTTGTATCGCTCTGGAACGACCTGGGAGCCTCCTTCCCGCCTCTGCTCGCTCCCCTTCTCCAGCCTGTCCCCTGCCACAGGTCT